AGGAATGCTAGTCAGGAGTGATGAAGCTTTAAGTTGGGTACCAGCTTGATCTCTCCATGTTTGATGACATCAGTGGCATCTTCAGCAACAGGGCCTTACCAGCAGCCAGTAGAGGCTGTGATGATCACATTCAGGGTACCAGGCTCGGGGACGTCTTACCTGCTGAGACATCCTGCTGGCCTTATCATTGATTTTACATGTAGATCTTACATTCTGCAACCACACGCATAAAAGTTCTTTCCTTGTTTTGACTTTTAATTTTTTTCTTTCTTTGTTTCTTCCTTCCTTCCTCCCACCCTCCCTTTCTCTTTTCTTTCTTTCTCTCTCTCTTCCTTCCTTCCTTCCTTCCTTCCTTCCTTCCTTCCTTCCTTCCTTCCTTCCTTCCTTCCGTACTTACTTACTTACTTACTTACTTACTTCCTCTCATTGATTACTTGGTGTGATAATGGACCTTGATCATCAGCCAACAAGACTGCCCAGCTGGTAAAGACGCTCACTGTCGATAGTGCAAGCCCGAGTCTGACCTCTGGAATCAACATTAAAGTGGAAGGAGGGAACCAACTCCACAAGTCTGTCCTTCACCTCCAAATGTGTGCCCCCCATACACAACCCACACACATACGCACAACAGTAGTGACAAATACAACTGGAACATTTCTGTGCCGCCCCATACACAACCCCCACACACATACACACAACAGTAGTGACAAATACAACTTGAACATTTCTGAATGTCCCCAGCTTTTCACTGTTTGGGATCTACTGCAGTGAACACCCCGGCACAGCCCTCCTGGAGACATCGGCAGGTGTTTCCCTGCCATAGAAGCTGACTCAAGGGAAAGATCGGCTCACATCTGGTTTTTCCAAATTGTCTTTCCACGTGGGTATTGCAATGCACAGTCCCGGCAGTTAGGAAGCATTAATGACAACAAACAGCAAGTATGTAGGCCGGAAGGAGAGGGCACCATTTTAGATAGGATTCTCAAGATGGATCTCTCTGGTCGGCTGGGATTTCGGAAGAAACCCGAGGAAGGGAAGAAACACGTGGTTTCTGGAGGCAAGCATTCCAGATGGAAAGCTCAGCTGGAACAAAGGTTCTGAGGTGGCAGCCTGGGTGTTTGGGGACATGGGGAGGCCACGCTGGGTGGGACAGAAGGAACATGTGCTTGGGAGGTAGAGAAGGAAGGAGCGGATTGTGAAGGGCCTTGATGGCCAGGGTGAGAACTTCGGCTTTTTTTTTTTTTTTTTTTTTTTTTTTTTTGGAGAAGGGTTTTTTTGGTTTTTTTTTCCGAGACAGGGTTTCTCTGTGTAGCTTTGCGCCTTTCCTGGAACTCACTTGGTAGCCCAGGCTGGCCTCGAACTCACAGAGATCCGTCTGGCTCTGCCTCCCGAGTGCTGGGATTAAAGGCGTGCGCCACCACCGCCCGGCGAGAACTTCGGCTTTTATGCTGAGTGGAAGGGGGATCATGGCAAAATTCTCAGGAGCAATGCGATTTGACCTCTTGGTAAAAAATGAAATCATTATCTAGACAAAGTTGACATAATAAGCTGCCCATTTAAACGACAGTTTGACTAGTTAGGGGCCAGTTATACCCCTTGTTACCACTCTCTGTCGCCCCAAAGCGTCTACCTCCTGTGGAGTCGCGGGCAGACAATCCCTACCTCATCCTTATCTGAGGCCGTTTTTAAAAAGGTTTTTTTTTCACCATAATCATAGATCCAACTTGCCCACTCTAAAGCATGATAAAAACAGAACTTTACAGCATGTGTCCGGCTCCTCTTGGTCAACATATTGTCTGGGACATAACCAATGCTGCCACCTGCCATGGCATGGGTATTTCACAATGACATCATCCTGCTTTCCCAGCTGCTGCTAAGCCTTTGAGCTGTTTTATTTCTGGACTACGACGAAAATAATTTTGTGGTTGGGAGTCACCACAACGTGAGGAACTGTATTAAGGGATCGCAACACTAGGAAGGCTGTGTTGTGGAATAATCTTTTTGTACACTGTGAAGATTTGTCACTCTGATTAGTTTAATAAAAAGCTGAACAGCCAATAGCTGGGCAGGATTTTCAGGGCAGAGAGGATGCTGGGAAGAAGAAGGCAGAGACCCCATGAGATGCAGAGTGAGCAGGATGGGCACTGTGGAGATGAGGTAATAAAGCCACCAGGCAGAAAGTAAATGAATAGAGATGGGCTAATTTAAGTTATAAGAGCTAGTTAGAAACAAGCCTGAGCTAAAGCTGAGCTTCCATAATTAATAATGAGTCTCCATGTCATTAATTTGAAGCTGGCTGGAGGAACAGGAAAATCCACCTACAAGGTTGAGAACCACTGTCCTAAAGCGTAGTTAAATCCAGTGTTTCCTCATTGATTCCTGTTTGTGGGTATGCAAGCCAGAAGTTCATGTTGTGAAACTTCATCCATCATACTTCACCATCAAACCTAGAGCACACTGACTCAGGTAAACTACCTGGCTAGCAAGCCCCGAGGATCCTCGTTGTCTCCACCTCCTCAGTGCAGGGATTACAGACAAGCGCTGCTGCAGTGTTCTGTCTGTGGGTGCTGGGAAGCCGAACCCACACTGTAGTGTGGCCATCTTGACTGAGCCTTCTCTTTATCAGAGGTTTTTAAAGAGGTTCTCTTTACTTTACCATTGTAAGCAGAGTAAGCAAGGATGCTGTCATGTTGATTTCTTGTTTTAGGTCGGTTATTTGGCTTATGCATTTAAGCCCAGTGTTGGAAATATATTTTTAAATTTTTACATTTCCTTGTTGACTCCTTTTTCATTATATTTTGGAGCTTACTTGCCTCATTTTACAGTTTTTTTTTTCACTTAAAGTCCACTTTTATCTGATTAAAGTTTAGCAACTGGTGCTTACTTTTGCGTTTGTGTGTCTGATTATCTTTCTCACCCTCCACTCTCCAAACCCTGTATGCCCTTAGCTGTTAAGGAGGAAGCGAACTGGTTCTTTTTCTAAAATGTAACCTAAGTTTTTGTTTTATTTTGTTTTGTTGTTGTTGTTTGAGACAGGGTTTCTCTGTGTAGTTTTGGTGCCTGTCCTAGATCTCGCTCTATAGACCAGGCTGGCCTCGAACTCACAGAGATCCACCTGGCTGTACACCACCACTGCTGGGCATAATCTAAGATTTTTTTTTTAAATTATGTTTTCTTCTACAAGTTCTAGAATAGTTTTTAGGTGGGAAGCAAAAGGAGTCCAGAGTGGACGTGTGCTAGCCTTCCCCTGGTTCAGGAGTGTTGACAAGTGGTTGCCCTTCAGTTAAAACCAGTGTGTGCAAAGTACTGATCACCGCCCCTCCCTGGATGGCTGCAGCCTGAGACTGAGCCCTTATGGAGACTCCTGCTGACTAGCTAACCTGCATCCTGCTCACGCCTACTGCATGATAAAAGCACTGAGTTTCCGGGCAGCTGCTGGCACATCTCCATCAGAGTGCACGGCCACCTGAGCCCAGGTCTCCTGTTCATTCTTCATTCCCTTTGCTCCAGTCAAACCAATCCCTAAACCATGCAGGTCATGGCCATTTTAACATTCATGTTAAGATCAGTCATTTCTTTGAGGTTTTAGTTCACATATAATATGAAAATTGAGGATTTTGTTTTGAGATAGGGTCTTGCTGTGTCTTTCAGGTTGGACTTGAACTTATCTAAGCTTCCAAATACTAGGGTTGCAGACATATGCCACCATCCACAACTGATACTTTAAAAAAATTACTCCTCTATCTGTGTGTATGTGTCTATCTGTGGGCACACTTGTGCTGTGGTGTGTGCGCGCTGTCAGAACATAGCTTGGAGAAGTTGGTTCTCTCCTGCTACTTTGCAGGCCCTGGAGACTGAACCCAGAATGTCAGAATTGGTGGCAAATGTCTTCACTCACTGAGTGATCTTGTTGGCTCCAAAGTTCAGTATTTCCAGACCATCTCAAATGAGTTGCTGGGGTAGACACAGAGGTCTCCCTTTGTGCCAACCACAGCGAGAATCAACACATTTGAAAGTTAAGGCTGATGACCCTTTTGGACACATAAAGGAATCTGTTCGGGGCTGGGATGACAGCTCGGTGGGCAAAGTGACCGCTGTATAAGCACAGAGACCTGAGTTTCACCTGCAGAACCCGCATGAAAAAGCTGTTTGTTGGCCCAGGTTTATAATCCCAACATGGAGAAGACGGAAACAAGAGGATCCTTGGGCTCTCTGGACAAGGAAGCCTCGCCTAGACAGCGAGCTCCAGGCCCTGGAGAGATCCTGCCTCAAAGAAATGAGGTAGAAATCTCTGAGATAACAGCACCCGAGGTTGACTGGCATGGTGCACTCGTACTGTAATGTACATTGTCAGCGGTCAATTGTCGCGTGCTGTGTGACTCAATGGGAAGCTGGCTCTGGAAACTGGGCTAGCCCCTCCCCCACTTCAGACCCAACCATGTTTGTTTCAAAGTGTCTGTGGTGGTATTGTGTTCCCCAAAATATTGTGTACCTTAATAAACTTATCTGGGGTCAGAGAACAGAAAAGCCACTAGGTAGGCGGTGATAGCACACACCTTTAATCATGGCATTCCAGAGACAGAAATCCCTCTGGATCTCTGTGAGTTCAAGGCCACATTGGAAACAGCCAAGCCTGGTGACACGCCTTTAATCCCAGAAAGCCAGCCTTTAATCCCAGGGAGTGGTGGTAGAAAACAGAAAGATATATAAGGCGTGAGGACCAGAAACTAGGGGCTTTTGGCTGGTTAAGCTTTTGGCTGGTTAAGCATTCAGGCTTTTGAACAGTAATTCAGCTGAGACCCATTCCGGATGAGGACTCAGAGGCTTCCAGTCTGAAGAGACAAGACCAGCTGAGGATCCGGCGAGGTGAGATAGCTGTGGCTTGTTCTGTCTCTCTGATCTACCAGCATGTACCCCAATAACTCGCCTCAGGTTTGATTTTATTAATAAGAACTTTTAGATTCCTGCTACAAGTGTCCCCCAAAGCTGGGCATGGGCTGCTCCCCCAACCCCCAACCTTGTGGCCGGGAGGAAAGAGAACAGTATCTTGTCTTCGAACACACCTAGAAGGCAGACCATGTCCAGCAGAGGTCACTATTGTTTGTCCTGTGGTGTGAAAGTGTGTGCAGTGGATACAGGAAGCCCAAAATTTGGTTCTTGAACACTTACGCCTAGAGAACCCAACTGGGGACTCCAGCTGCCTGCCTCAGCTTCCCATTCACTTTCTGCTGGGCACATGACTGCCTGACTTGATGATGTCGTCTCTATTTGTTGCTGCTTCTTCTTTTACCAAAAGCTTCACCCAGAGGGACACGCTGCTCTGTCGGGGACTCTATTAGGAACTCCAGCCAGTTGCCATAAAGGGGCCTCCCCAGTCAACTTCTACTGGATGGTCTGAGCCTTAATTGGATAATGTTTGCTATTTATCTATCTCTTGCTATTTATTCTTTTACTTTGGTTTGCTATATAACTTAATAGACACACTCATTCAAAACCAAACTATGGCTGTCATAGACCATTCTTCTAACTGTATAGAATGTGCACATATATGTCCACATGTGTACACATGCACACACACACACACAAAATTGTGAAAACATATTGCAAAGTATAAAAATGGGAGAATATTCAACAAAAGGAGAACAAATTCTTAGGATAGCTCAAAGTAGCAGCTGACTGGCCTCAATTCAAGGGCAGACAGTGTTTACCCCATTTTTCTAAGTTCTGGATGCAGATCTGTGCGCCCATGCCTAGGGACTCTTAAGGACTTGTGTCTGTCCCATGCCCTGTGATCTGTCCTTTGTGTGGAATTCTAGGGAATCAAACCCCCTATTTCATGTGTTGCCCCTCTCACCTGTCACTTGTTATCCTGAGCTGCGTAAAGAGCCTCAGTGTCCCAGTCAGAGGAGCGAAGCCAGCCAAGGGCTCTGCCTGCACCATCTATTCTGTGCAGTTATTAGCTTCTCTTTCCGGCTCATCCACTGCTGGTGCACACCCATTCCTCTGTTTGCTCCAGGCTGTGATGTCCAGTCCCAGACCATGGTTTCCTGTGACAATGTACCAGGTAGGAGACCCCAAAAGGACAGACGTGTGGAGAGGGCCCAGGATGCACACTCACATGGGAGGCCAGGGCCATCTGCATGGTGAAAGCCCACCTGGTTTTCCTCTCTCACTCTTCTCTGGAGAAAACAGAAACCTTCATTAGTTCTTACATTGCAGTTTTTAGTTTTTCCATTTGACAAACATTTTTACTTGTCATATGCTCTTTTCTTTTCCTTTTAATTCTATGTTGTTCTTTTTCATGGGATCTGATTTTTATTCTATGGGTTATATACCCCCTAGCTTGTTGTGGGATAATCTCTTTGTACACTGTAAGGATGTGTCTCTGTCAAGGCACCTTTTGATTGGTTTAAGAAAGAGCTGAAGAGCCAATAGTTAGGCAGGAGGAGGATAGGCGGGGCTTCTAGGCAGAGATAGGAACTCTGGGTTAGAATGTGGCATGGGGATTTTGCCAGTGAGACATGGGAAAGTTGGACATACAGAATGGAGGCAAGGTAACAAGCCACGTGGAGGAATGTGGATTAATATAAACAGGTTAATTTAAGTTTTAAGAGCTAGCTGCGGGCAAGCCTAAGCTAAGGCCAAGTGTCACATAATTAATAAGAAGTCTCTGTGTCATTATTTGGGAGCTGGTGGTCCAAAGAAGGTCCAGCTACACTAACCCTTTCTCCTGTCCTCTTGGTTAGCTGATTCCTCTGAGGACATTGTCCCTCTTGATTCTGGTGTCTCCTCTATCTTGGGTACCTTTCCCCAAGTGAGTGGCACTTGGTTTTCTATGCCAGGAGTTTCTCTTTATCTTTTTAAAATTATCACACAAAATAATGGTTTCATCAATATATATGTGTGTTTGTGTGTGTGTGCGCACGCATGTGTGCATGTGTGTATGCACGTGTGTGTACATATGTATAACTTGCTAATATTAGCTCTCCCTATTACCATCTGTTTCCCCTTCTCACTAGTCCTCACCCTCTCCTCCAAATAGCTCCCCTCTGATACAGATATTTTCCACACCTGTGTGCTTTTGGGAGCAAACACGCAGCTTTTCCTTATGGATCTCATGTTAGAAGTTTCTATTAGCATGTGAAAGTCCTTGGCATCCACACCGACACCCAAAAAACGTTGGTATGAGTTCTTTCTTCTTCAAGTGCACTGTTGCATGATGATAGTGTGTCTAAGCCCTTAGGAACTGTTTCAGGACAGACGCTGTGACGGTGAAGCTGTGTCCTGTCTTTGAGGTGACATGGGGGGGGGGTCCCCCAGCCTACCTTTACATAGTCTCCTTCTAGGTCAGGCATTGTGTTCTTAGTAATGTTTTGTGAGAAATGGAAAGAGAAAAAGATTAAGGAAAAGGTGTGAATCAAAACTCTGTAACCAATGCACCAGCACAACCATAAAAGCGATTTTCGCTTGGCTAATTGGTATTCCTTTATCAAGGCTTATTCCGAATTACAAATCCCTGTACCTGGACTGTTTGATTCAGGCAAATTTGTTTTGTGTCTCAGAGGCTCGGGAGTACAAAGCTTCAATTACTCTACAACTGGACGCATTATTTACAATAAAAATGTAGATGAGTCCGTAATTCTTCAGCTTAGAACAGAAAGAAGGTCTGAAATGCTTAAGAATCTTAATCCGCGGTGGAATTGGGTGAGTAGACCATTCAGGTTTAAAACTCCGCTTCCCACGGTGGAGATCTCCCTGTGGGGGTAAGAAGATCAACAAAAGGTTAAGCAAGGAATTAGCATTTTTATAGCTGACATCAATATATATATACCTGATTTGTATTTATTATGCTGTCTGTATTTAATCTTAAAGGCCTTTAAAGCAGTTACGAGAATCCAATCTATTAGATCCAAGAAATTTAAAGTTTCAATCCACATCTGGGGAACCCTTATTTTCTCTATCCATTTGTTTTTTATTTCCACTTAAGTGAATGAATGTTTTGGAGAATTTTAAACAGTTATAACCCACTAGACTTAGCAGGATAGTGGAATAATTAAGTATTGAAACAATCAGTTAGAGACTAATCCCCTCGTCCAGTGTCTGCAGCCTGCTGACTACAGAAAACCTTCTCTTTGATCTCACCGTGAAAGGAGAGGTGTTCAGGGCACGGGTGTGGGCAACAGTCACAATCCCGGCACTTTGAGACAACAAGTTACCAGGTCAAAGGCCAGCCTGGGTCACAGGGTGAGACTGTCTAAAAGCAAACCAACAAACAGAATTCACAACAAAGAACAAACAAACCAATGAAAAGAAAGGAACTAAAGAAATTTGGAGAAAGAAAAGTAGAGCATCCTCCCAGGGAGCGGAAAAGACTGGACCAGAAGGTGAATTTTTATCATTAAGAATTCCATTTTTGCTGGGCGGTGGTGGCTCACACCTTTAATCCCAGCACTTGGGAGGCAGAAGCAGGCGGACCTCTGTGAGTTCTAGGCCAGCCTGGGCTACAGAGTGAGTTCCAGGATAGCCAAGACTGCTTCACAGAGAAACCCTGTCTCAAAAAACAAAAACAAAAACAAACAAACAACCCCCCCCAAAACAAAACAAAACAAAATTCATTTTTTGTGGCCATGTTTCTCTGTCCCATTTTATTTTATTTATCTTTTGCATGGTATTTTCATTGATTACTTGGGAATTTCGCACAATGCACCCTGATCACCCTTACTTCCCAGTCCCCCCAGGTCTGCTCCCCTGCTCTTGTTCCCTCTCACAAAAAGAGTAAAAATGAAAACGAACAAACAACAACAACCAAGGCCAGTATGTGTTGTCCATGTACTCACTGGAGCACGGTCAGGCTCCCTGTGGCCAGCCCCTTAAAGAAGAGTGAGTCCTTCCCCACGCGTGCCCGCCAGTAGCCGTCCATTGTGAAGAGCTGCACTTCAGCAGCCTTGTCACCATTCTAAGAGTTCTCTTCGGTGGCTTCCTGTCTAGGTTGTTACTCTTGGGGGGTGGGGCAGGGACGTTGTCACAGAGGCCTTCCATGTCTCTCCTTCTCAGCTGTGAGTCTGCAGCCATTGATGCCACTGCAGAAGAAGAAGTTTCCTTGTCCTTCACAGTCAGCAGGATCATGGACTTCGACATGGTATCTGGTGACAGCAGAGACCATGGACATCCACCTGGCCTTTGGCATCACCATGTGCCACAGACCTCAGCATGCCCTCCACTGGCCGTACAAGCCATGGACACCAACACAGTCCCCAGCGGCAGCCTGACCCACGGACATCAATATGGCTTTAAGTGGCAGCACAGACCACAGACATCCACATGGCCTTTGGTGGTAACACAGGCCACAGATATTAATGTGGCCCCTCCCTACAGCAGAACCACTGACCCCAGCATGGCCCTTGGCAGCAGCAGGGACCACAGACATCAGCATGGCTTCAGGCAGCAGCACAGGCCATGGATATCGGCATGTCCTTCGATGGTAACACAGGCCATGGATATCGGCATGTCCTT